TATATATATATATATATATATTCCTTAGTCCTTTGATATTTTTGTAGTGCACGTTTAAAGGAAGCTGCAATATGACATATGACCATTAGGTGGCAATACCACACAATATTTCCTGTAAATATGTTCTGCCTATGTATGAAAAATTATACAAGTTAAAAAAAATTATTAAAAATCACAAAAATGAAAACTCATGTAAAAAAGAAAACAACAAACCTGCTTGCCCCATAGGAAGAAGTTTCTGTTTTTGTGGCTTCCTCTATAAGAGGAATAATAATTTTCTCTGTTGAGTCTGTCAGAAGAGAAAATGTTGGCTCTACTATGAAATCAATGAAACCTACAAAAGCAAAGAGAAATCCAAGTGTTAAAATTTCCTAAATTTTACAGTTGTTAATAATGAAGAGTTTCTGATGTTCTTTACAGTAAGTGTGAATTATAATAATGGTTCGGCTCTCCCCTGCAATAATTTTCAATCCAGAAACACAGTTTCCTCAGATAGCATAAGAGTTCTGTCTTACGGCTCTCAAGCAATGGGACTAGCATGATTTAAGTTTGCTAATTCAAGGATACTGGCTTTCATGTGCAATATTCAGCTTTACAGTACTGCTAACAATAAACTTAAGTCTAATCAGAGTGAATATGTTTTCTCTGTCAGTGAAAGGGATCATTTAATTTCTGAAAGGTGTCCACTTGTTTGTTGGATATTTTATTATTGACCAACAAGAAACAGCACCTAAACTCTAAAGAAATTAAATGATTAAAGTTTTTCTCAGCTACAGGAAAACAATCACATTTTTTTTTCTTTTACTATTATCAGCAGAGCGTTCAGCTAGGTGTTAATATTTCAAATTGCTGTTTATTATTCACTGGACTTTAAGTGTTTGTTTGCAGAGTGTGGGAGTGTTCTGTCAAGTCTGTGAGAAAGGCATAACATGTCTGGGAAACATCATTAATCTTACCACTTTGAGATGTCAGGGCTGAATAAAGATTTTTACTTTTAAAGTATTCATCAAGACAGAAATGACACACAAGCACTAGCTTATGCTTGGTATGTAGGAGGAAGGAGAGACAACCTATTGTTTTTTTTTTTAAATAATTATTTATTTATGCATACAAGAACTAGGGTGCAGGCCAAAGGTGCAGGGGGTGAGAAGATTCACCAGCGACAGAATGGGGGAGCAGACAGGTATATCTACTGAAATACACTGCTGAGGGGAGCAACCAGTGAGATAAGCTGGTCTACTGAGCCATGTGGGTCAGGTGTCAGCTCCCTGGTCTGGAATTGCACTCATGCTACCGTGGGGAAACAATCTATTATAAGCTCTGAGTCTATGCAACCCCCTGAGCCCTGGGAGAGATGTGTCCTGAAAAACCAGTACTTGTGGCCTTAAACACATCTGAGAACAATGGTCTACCCTCAAACAACAACTGCAGGGAGACCTGCGTCTCAGCAAAAAACTACATTTGAAGACTATCCCATCCATCAGATGCTCAGATAAATTCACATTTCAAGTAACCAAATTAGTTATGCCTATACTACAGCATATTTTTCATTAAATTTTTTTTCTCAATGGTTTGTGCCTTCTAATCAAAGCAAGGGTAATGGGACCACCCAGAATACTATTTCAAGTTCTGTGGTTTTAAATGCCTGAAATACAGTGTCGGTTAAACTGGTTATCATCTCAACTTACATGGCAAGCCATTTACAGACACAACTAGGCTTAGATAGCTTGGTCCTCAGCCCACACATTCACATCTGCTATAGGTAACAGCCACCTGTCTTATGTACTGAGAGCATAGCTGTGGGATCTAGAGTGGGAGTGGGGAAAGGTCAGGGCAAGAAGTTTTCTTCAGCTACTGCTGCCTTGTTGCCTTGTAGTAGGTGGGCCCAAAGTGGCTAGAGTCAGGTGCCTGCTCTTAGTTTATTGAATCTCCAACTCAGGAAAGGAAACAATGGCTCAGGTTTGAAGTCCCCAATACAAATAGAAATGAAAAAATGTTTGGGAAAGCTAACATTCTACAAATTTCCTTTTGTTGGTCTAGTCCTATAATAAGTGTTGTTTTCAGAAGACAAACAGCTAGCATGTTAATCATATCATGCACCTTTACTCCTAACAGGACAAATTATGAGTACTTTAGCTGAATCACTTTTTTTTTTAAAGAGTTACTTATTTATGCATACAGAACTGGGGTACAGGCCAGAGGCACAGCTGTGGTCAGAGGATTCACCAGAGACAGAGTGGGGAGCAGAACAGGCCAGCTGACAAAGTACATTGCTGAGGGGAGCAGCAGGTGGGTCAAGAGAGGTCTGCTGCACCCGGGTCACCTGCAGGGGTGGGAATCGAACTCATGCTGAACTTTAACCTGCTGCACCACCAGAGAGGCCCTAAATCATCTTTTATATAAAGTTTTAAATTACAGAAACAATAATCAGCAAAGAAACATAGTTTCTTGCACAAGAAGAAAGTCTTCTATTTTATAAAAGTATTACAAAGTGAGTTACCAATTACACTGGGCAATACTACTGTATCAAATTTAATGTTGTAATCATGTTTTAATCATTCTTAATTCTCATCTTAGCACCAAATAGCCTAAAGGTTAAACTTATCATGAATGTGGAAGAAAGTTTTCATGGAGTTACTTCTTTGAACAACCCTCGTCTGCCCATTTGAAAACTAACCAGCACACGCAGTCCCCAAACACTAATAGTCCTTATTACCTATTTGTGATTGGGCCACCATCGTTGACTTCCGATCACAGAGGGGGGAAAATGGAAGTCCTAATTCAGCTTCTTTATCTCCCTGGGAAAAGAAAAGCTCATTAGTGCAGATGTGGTTTGGAGAAATTCCCATAATGAGCAGCCTAGATACAAAGCTTTAAAAAGCTGCAACTTTCACTTCTTAATTGGCATGATATTTATTATTTTTAAAAATAAAACCAAAAGCAAAAAAAAAAAAAAAAAAAAAAAGAAAACAATATCCATTCACCCATTCACTCCACAATCCTACCTTGTAGGGTCTGGAATAGCACACGTCTGAACTCCAGTCACTGCTCAACACTTCTATTCCAAAATAAAAATAAAAAAAACAAAAGCTGTAGTCCAAATTTATATAATTGTACTTGGATGGTCTTCTTTGGGACATATTGCGGGGGGGTGGGGGGGAGTGGAACATTATCAGCACCTGGAGCCTCTGCTTTGGAATTACAACTCTGAAAAGAGACAAACCTTTGCTCTTTAGAATTTTCTAGTCTCTATGAAGAGTCATGTCAGTGTGTTATTTGGCATTTAATTAACAATCCTCCTGTGGATTTTTCCACTTGTTTTTTCCATACCAAATACACCAGCTGATTTCCAGTAACAAGATTTCATAATGGACCGCTCTTTGAAACTAGAAGTGTTTGAACATTTGGAAACATTTTTCTACTTATGAACTAAGGTTTACTGAATCTCCCAAAGCAAGTAATGAGGAATATCTTCAACATTCTTATACTCTATGAGCATAATTTTACTTAATGTATTAACAGGATAAATTGAAGTGTCAATGATTTTGTATTTTTTGACCTTATCTATGGTAGATTAATGAGCACATATGTTCAAGAATCCCATGTATTTGGGATTTAATAAATCCTAAGAACTAATTAGATTTTCATTTCCTAAAATAAAGGTGGTTGCCTTGGCAAAGTTTTATTATCATGAGGTTTATCGAACATTAGTTCTTTACTTTACATCCAAAGGGATGTGCTTATAGGAGCAAGAGCAGAAGTTCTGACCATTTGGGAGAAATACTGCATTTGGGCTATTGGCCGTTTTCCCTCATGTTGTACACAGCATTGCATAGGCCTTCACCTAGCATATGAGTCTGGTTCCAAAGGAGAGGCCAACATGAGAATGCAACTCCTGTTTCAGGAACTCAGAGATCTTCTGCTCTGTTTTCTCTGAGATCTTCTCATAGTGATTTTTCACAATATACTGTCAATCTGCAGTTTTAATATTTTACTGACAAGGGTACCTTTCTCCTAAACTGTGACCTGATTTGAAAGAAAAGAAAAATTTTAACTCGTTGCTTCAGGAAAATTTAGAGTGGGAATACTAGGCTTGGAGAAACCAGGGAATAAAGTTCTATGATCTCTCCCTTTTTCATTTCCCTAGGGAATAACAACATTCATTCTTTTGGGAATTAATATTCAGAGTAAATTTATAGGACAGGTGAAAGGAAATTATTAATGCCACTAGCCTTGTGGTCATGAGACAGAGTTTGATCACTTAACTCTGTTACTTCAGACACAGAGGTTGTTGAAAGGAGTTCATATCTGTCACAATGTGGGGGTATTGCTTTACTCATCTTAGGAATAATTACATAACCACATAAAGTGGCAAATAGCCATTATTAGTCAATAAGAACCATAATTCATAACAGCACAATAGGTTCTTTATTTAGCCTAAAACTAATGATTTGAACCTAAAAATGTCATTGTGTAATTTCCCTTTCATGAGCTAAATTTTACAGAATGTTCAGGGTGGTGACATTTTCATGAACAACTCAGGCATTTGACAGCTATGTGCAGGGTCTACCTTTTACAAAGGGGGTGAGAGAATTTATATATATTTTTTTGCTTCTTGTTCTTCACAACTGACCTGAAATATTAAATTTCCACTGCTAACAAACAGAAAATGCTAAAATGAATCACTTATTTATAAATATTTCAAAATTTGGTTTTAAATGGCTATCAAAGAACAAAAGATTTTGTAATCAATGGCTCTCTGACATTTTGCCTTGGAAAAACATAAGCTTAAAATAGAACAGGAAGATAACAAGTAATAGCAATTTACATCATGGTTATAGTGTGAAGAGGTCTCTCTTTTCTCATAATCATACTGGGGAGGAGGCAAAATGGGAACTGATCCTTTCTTGTAGTTAAGAAGATACAAGACTCATGTTCTCATTGCTGGAAAAATGGAAAGTTAGGGCTTATAGTTGGATTTTCTGTAGTCAATCCAATTATTTCTGCAATAATTAGGATCCATTCTATATGTAATAAATATTGCCCAATATAAAATAGTTTCTTTGTAGGAAACACAAAATGTTCATATGTTCTACTATAGCGAGGGCAATGATGAGTTTTGGAAAGTCATACTGATTTGTTTTGAATTGCCTAGTGTAGTGAATCGCATCATGTAGCATTTAGATTCATAGTATATTCCAAGGACATGGAAATGTATTTTCATGTTATCTCATAAAAATGCTGTCTTAATTAAGTGAGATGAAAAGTCCTAGTTATCTTGGTTAGATTAGGCCCATAGAAAAAAGAAATGTTTATCAGCACTGTGGATTTTGCACAGTGGCAAAGCACAGATGGTTATGTGAGTATGAACAAGAATAAGAAAGAAATGGAAGAACCAATACAGTGCTTCTAATTACTATGACATTTACAAAGATACACAACTGCAGTTCACATGTCAAATGCACTCAGAACAAAGTACACATCTCAGAGTTTCTGATTTATTACTACCATCTCTAAAAGACTAAGTGAATAGGTGGTATGGATAAGAAGTAAAAATACTGGTAGATTCATTTAGTTAATTGAATGCATGAAAACATTTTCCCTGATTGTGTCAATGTCATATTTCAATATAAGTCTCATAAACTTGCTTTGCTTATAAAAACATGTTTATTAGTACTATAAAACCATTTTCAATTTTAATTCACAGTTTCCTGCTTTACTGTATATGCACCAAAGGGAATTTGAAAGCCATTTATTTTTAAAATTCCAGAGACTAAAAAATATAAAATTCTATCATTTAAAAACTCAAGTCTTTAATCAATTTACAATGCTCTGAAGTATTCTTACAGTTGAACAGATAGGTAATGTTAGCAGACATTTTATAATAGCTCAATATGAACAAAGACCCTTTATTTTTCTTTTAACTGTAAGTATTATGGTTTATGTGTTAAGGCCATTCAAGCAAAGACTGTCATTTCTAAACATTTTGGGGTTACACAATGCCTATCATTTCTCATCAAGAATCCTTTAAAAAAAAAAAAACCAAAACTTGATACTTTCTTATCTAAATAACACAATCTGAAAAATGTAGATCAAAAAGCAGTCCAAGTACCTTGATGTTATACCTATTCCAAGATTTGATCTTTTGTGTTGGGTGTATTTTAATCTCTAATATTCAGAAATTTGCATATTAGAACTGAGTGGTAGAGTGTGAAGTAGCCCTACAGAACAAATTTCCTCTACTCTGCAACTTAGATGTCAAAAATTATTGCCAGCTTTCCTAAAAAATTCTCTAAAAAATTCAAGAATAAGGTGGTAAACTTCAAAAACTTTGGAACTCAGTGCTGTATATGACTTAGAGGTATAGGTTCGCACCTCTTCAGATTTATATGAACACACCAGCCCACCCCCACAGCACCAGAGTCCATTGGGCCCCCTAACCCTTTAGCTCACAACTCCTTTCTTAGCTTCACAATATTACTACAATAAATATTTAATTTTAAAAAGAAATACTTGAATTTGTAAGTGTCAATAAGAAAAAATAACGATGAAAGGGTTATAAAGGTCAGTACTGGTCATTTTGTTTTTGCTTTTTTCTCTCAAAAATATAGACAAAAGCAAAACACTGGACTCAAAATTTCATTGAATTAATGTCGTGATTCAATAATATTCTTTGTTTGGTTTAATATCAACAAAAGTCAGGGATAATACAAATCATGATTTGTAAATCCATATTTGCAGATATAACTAATTTCCAACAGTTGCTGAAATTTATTAAAAATATTTTTAATGTGACATATTTGTGTAGCTATCAATTACATAGAACATTTCCATCACCCGCAGAAAGTTCCTCTTATTCCTGTGAGGTTGTGTGTCATCTTGTTTAGGCATCCATGATTAATTTTGTACAGTTTTAAACTTTATATAAATGAAATAATATAGTAAATATTTTAACAATAGTATTATTTGTATTGCTAGCCCCTTTTCTATCATTGCATGATATTTCATTGCATGACTACACCATAATTAATTAACTTTTCTTTTAAGATGCACATGTGGACTCTTTCCAGGTTTAGGCAATTATAATTAATATGTCCTACTGCAGAAATTTGGTGGGTATAAGCACTAATTAATACTTCAGGGTGGAAGATGGATGTACTGAATCATAGTTTAATGTTAGTCAATGCTAACCAGGAGTGTTCTAGATGGATTGTAACTTACACTTATGAGCAATACCTGATACTTCCAGTGGCACTGAATACTCAGTATACTTAATATTGTCAGTCTTTCTCATTTTAAACATTCTGGTGAGGATGTAGTGGCAATTTATTGTGGTTTGAATGTCCAATCCTTTGATAACTAATGGCAGACAATTGTATGAACTTATTACCCATTTGTATTTTATTTTCTTTTATGAAGTTTGGATCAAATTGGAATGATTTCCTTTTATTGTTTTACTTATAGGAGTTCTTTATATAATATGGGAATAAGCCCTCTAGTGGATACTAATAGCACAAATATCTAATAGCTACTCTCTTTTCTAAGCACAAAATACATAATGTATTAAAAAGTTTTTTAAAACTGTTTTTAGTATGAAAATATTTGAATTTAGAAGTTGTTGAAGGGGAACAAAAAAGGCAGTTGTATTGCATCCCCCAAAAATGTCTTATTGGCAACAGTTTGATTTCAGGCTCAACAAGTTGGGTAGAGTTTACTTTTAACATTTTTATTTTATCTTCTCTGTGAAGAGCCCTGCCTAGTCTTCTCTCTTTTCACTGGAGAAGGCAGAATTGACTCTTCATACCTTTTGTTTGCTGTGCCTTCCACACTCAGCTTCCTAACTGAGTTTCCTGTGAGTTGACCAAAGCTGTATTAAGTTATTTATGATGACTCTGAAGCCACATGGGTAGGTTTATTCAGTCATGGTAGGTCTTTCCTGTACAGAGGAAGTAAGGAAGTATACATGCTATGTGTATATGAACTTTCTTTTGTTTCTTCTCCTATCAATTTGTTTGCTATTTATTTGCCAACCTAGAAGAACCCCAAGGTGTATAGAAAGATTCCCTTTGCACTCTGATACTACCAGTAACTTTCTTTATGAGAATGCAATGCTATTTCAAAATAGAACTATATCCATTGCCAATTGGCAATAGAAATGTACATAATCAATGGTGAAATGGTAAAAATAATACTGAAAAGTCAAATAATCTGAAAATGCTGAAATAAAACAAGAGGTTCATTGAATGGGACTATGGCATGTTAAAGAACATATCTTGTCTTTATCTCTTGTTCCAGGTATAGAACTTAAAAAACTCTGAGTAATAAGAGACTCTATGCTATGCTAATTATCTAAAATCTCATTGATAGCTTCATGATGAGGCCTACTCACCAAAAGACCAACCACACAGAGAGTTGAGGCTTTGGGCCAGTCTGGCCTCTTAGCAGGAGGGTGGGGGGGTTGGAAATAAATTCAATCACATGGCCAATGATTTAATCAGTCATGTTTGTGTCATGAGAGCCCCATAAGAACTTCGCAAAATAAAGCTCATGGCACATCCTAGTTTGGTAAACACATTGATGTGTCCAAAATATGAAACATCTGACTCTATAAGGAAAGAAGATAAATCCTTCTATATCTGGTCCTATGCACCAGTTCTCTGGGTTGTTCTTAACTTATATTTTATATAATAAAACCATAATTATAAGCAGAATGCTTTCCTGAGTTCTGTGAGTCATTCTAACGAATGACTGAGGAGGTTTGTAGAAAGCCTGAATTTGTACCCAGTGGTCAGAAGTACTGGTGTCCTAGTGACCACTAGGTGTCCACTAGGGGCTAGCATCTAAAGCAGAGCCAGTCCAAAGGAATAATTCACCCTTATCCTCTGGGGAGCCAATGCTAGCTGGGAGTGGTTGGCATCCCAAATGCACTATAGCACTCCAGGTGAGAGTGGAAACAGAACAGGAATTTTCTAGAGAAAAAAAAAAAACAAAACAAAACTATATGCTTGTGACAGAAAACACTGGCCATTTCCACATTCAGATCTTCTTTTTTTGCATAACAGACATCTTAGTTTGGCATGTATGTATCCAGTAAAAATTCCTATTTTTAGCCTCCTTTGTAGCTAGGCACCTACGATTGTTGTTCTAACCAACAAGATGAATACAGAAGTATTCTTTCCTTTCTTTACGATAAAAAATTATTGTTATTTCTACTCTAGAATTTATCTCTTCACAACAGACAATTCTAATTTGTTTCTTTCTTTGCTGAGAAAGGCATTTGAGATCAAAGTCTTGGCTGTCTTTAAAATAGGTATTGTACGTAGGGTTATTTATTATAGTCATCTGAAAGATCAGTAAATTCTGTCTAACATGCAAGCATGTGTTGTAGGCAGTTCATAACGAAGTCACAAATCCTGGATTCTGTGCAGAAAAGTGGTATGAGGTGGCAGTATTCTATATTTCTGAATCAATATTATCTTTATACACACACACATCTATATAAAGGAAAATCATATTTCAAAATGCCCAGTTACTATTTCCAAAAACAGTATGAAAGAGGCACCTGTCGGAAAAACTCCTCCATCAAGGCCATGGTCCATCGATGGTGCAGCTTCCAGCATTTGGCCGGATGGCTGATGTCTGCAGCATGGAGAATCAGGGACATGGTTTTAGCTCTGTCGATCCTGTCAAACCAAAGACATTCAACTGCTCAGAACAAAGTAACCAATTACAGTCTTTTCTGAGGCTAAGCTTAAAGGATTTTAATGTGACAAAAGAAAATATTTTACCCTTCAGGCTGCTGTAAGCTGTTTCTTATATTTTTAATTTGCTGGAAATGACCTGACATGTCTGTAGATAAAACCATTTCAATCACTAGATTCCGAAGATCCCTGTCGATTCATGAAAAGGAGAAAGGGTCATTGGCTATTTATTGTTCTTAGATGGAACATTTCCTTAAATATAAACAATCATACTTTATTTTTTAATAGTTATAAGCACAAAAGATGTGACTTTTTAAAATGTAAAAGTTTCCATAAAAGTTTGACATTATATTATCCTATAACCTTAAGGAGTTAGGAGGTTTTACTAAGATTATTATATGAATAATACCATTTAATATATTCCCCTCTTAAGATCTAGACTCTTTCCCATCTCACACTAGTAATTTCTAAATATTGTTGCTCTATCTGAAAAAGGTATTTTCAGAAAAGTAATACACAAAAATAATCAGTCTGACACCATTTATATAGGACCATAAAAATTCAGCTTAACATGCAACTGTGTATCTTAATGTATGTATGCAGCCTATGACTGCCCAGATACATTTAAAGATCTCAAGCACATCTAACAGTACTCAGCTCCTGAACAGTCTTCCAAATACTAATCCTTTCCAGAGTCATCTTGTCAAGGAAGACTGAGACTGAATATTGGTAAGGTGTTGACCTTTATCTTATTTTCTTCACTTTAAATCACATACACTTTAACCTTTTCTTGAAATTAAGTTTCCCTCTGAAACTCACCTCCAATCATCTTTTGATAAATTTGTCAAGACATTCATTTCTTCTTCTTGCATAAGTCGATAAGCTGCACTCACATGGTGATTCTCAAGAACTGAGCGATCATTGTATAGAATGGCAACATCTGACCTACGAATTAGAAAATGTTCAATAGATAAATTATTTAGATTTTATGAGTATAAAATAAGAGACACTCAAGTTTCAATAAAACTTTTATCAATAAATTCTTAGAACCAAACACCTACAGTTTTGGAAGTACAAAGTTTCTTTTTCATTTTTATTTTTACCATATGATAGTTTTTAAAAAGACAGTATTTTAAATCAGTTTTAATTTCACAGCAAAGTTGAATATAACGTACATAGATTTCCCAAGTGTTTCATCATTAATTTAATTGACATTACCCTGATGAAATACAAAATGGAACTCCACCTTTCTTATCCTTATTTGCCATCTATCTTCTTTAGAAGTGAGTTGTTAAAGCCATTTAAAAAATCAAATTGTTGGCCCTCCCTGGTGGCGCAGTGGGTTAAAGCACAGCACAAAGAAGCTTAAGCCACTTCCACATGAGTTCGATCCCCGCCTGCCCTGGAGGTGACCACATGGCGTGGCAGACCTCTCCTGACCTGCCCGCTGCTCCCCTCAGC